GCCATCACCAGTATCAAGAGCTGATACTGGAGATCTGTGGAGGTGCAAGTGCACTCAGCGTGACGGGAGATGTCTCCCATGAATGTGTCCAAGATGACGATTAAACCATCGAAAAGGTGGCACGGGCATGAATAGCCCGTAAGTGGTGGCCCTTTTGAGCCATTACCAGTATCAAGAGCTGATACTGGAGATCTGTGGAGGTGCAACTGCACCCTGCGTGACGGGAGATGTCTCCCGGACCAAGTGGTGACCAAATGGTCTAAGTTTCCTCTCTTGTAACGAGCTTTTATACCCGTCTATCCCCAATTAGTAATAGCCTTCCCACTTTGGAAACTACTCGAGGTGAGGTGAGGTTTGTGTCAGAGTCAGAGTGGGATAATGTTAGTGTTAGAGCCTCAAGGCTCTGTCCTGGGATCTCTGTTGTTTATAATATATATAAATGATTTAGATTCAGGTTTGAGTAGCAAACATCTGCAAATTTGCAGATGATACTAAAATCGGTAGGGAAATTAACACGGAAGAAGACTCGCTATCACTTCAAGTTGATCTAAATAGGGTTTTGAAATGGTCAAAAGATTGGCAGATGCAGTTTAATGCTGATAAATGTAAAATTTTGAGGCTAGGTAATGATGATAGTTACAAGATACAAGCTAGATAGTGTTGAGATTGCGAAAGGGATCTGGTAGTTATGATTAGTAAGAATTTAAAACAAAAGGATCAATGCATGAATGTTCGTAATAAGGCAAATAGGACACTGGGATTTATTAATCGCAGCGTTAGTAACAAGACACCTGGTGTGGTTCTCAAGCTATATCTTGCTCTAGTTAGGCCCCATTTAGATTATGCAGTTCAGTTTTGGTCGCCATATTATAGAATGGATATAAATTCACTTGAACGTGTCCAGCGTAGGATGACTAAGTTAATTCCCCAAATTAGAAATCTTTCATATGAAGAAAGATTAACAAAGCTTAAGTTGCATTCACTGGAAAGGCGAAGAGTTAGGGGTGACATGATAGAGGTTTACAAGTGGATGAATGGACATAACCGGGGGGATACTTGTGATACTCGACTATCCTCCCGGGGAGAAACTCGTCTCCTTGTGATAACTGTTGGTCGGTAAAATAAATTCCACCCTGAGATCTAACTTGTGACTGTCCGTAATTCCCAAGTAGCAGGGTGATGACAAGCCTGAGTCGCTAATCCACACTTCTCACCCCGATTGATGATTGATGAAGATTAAGCCACCCAAGAGGTGGCACGGGCATGAATAGCCCGTAAGTGGTACAATTTTTTTTTTTCTCAGTATTCTGAGTTTGCATTTAACCATCAAGCTGTTATCGCGGGGGAGGATACTTCTTCAGTCTTTATGCTTCTCACCCCTTTATATTTAATTCCCTTAATGCGTAACGACACTGAAATTAAGCTAATCCTACACGTATATCGCGATTTACTGGAATAACGAACCCAATACAACCGGACCTTCGAATTATATCCCACAATTCTCGGTAACGCTAATGAGATGTACAAACTATCCAAGAATGGTTAATCCTCGCCGCTACCAAAGCTTTGTTTACAATGTTAATTATGTAATAACTCAAATCCGTTGACGTCTTGGACTGACGGGAGAGATCTCCCGTCACGCAGGGTACAGTCCCAGCTCCACAGATCTCCAGTATCATCTATTGATACTGGTAATGACTCAAAAGGGCCTCCACTTACGGGCTATTCATGGCCGTGCCACCTTTTGGGTGACTTAATCTTCATCAATCATTAGTCTTGGACTAAATACTCACACACTTTACGTTACAAGTACAAGCACATTTCTACTTCAACTAAAATGAATATTAGCATATTTTTAATAAATTATGTAATAAATTATGTTCCAGTAATTGGTTCCTACATAGGATTATTTATACCCAGTTTCCGCGAATCTTCTGAGCATTAATGAGACTCTTTATCTTCACCATTAGCTGAAACTAATCTTCTGTATGGATTTTTCGTATGGGTGTTTAGTACCTAATCTACTCCAAAATTTTACCGTATATTACTGTTAGCACAAAAACAAAAATTCAACCCCACAACGAGAACAATATATATTATTCCCGAAAAACACAGATTTTCACAGACTAACACGCTCGTAAAGCGCACATTCAGTCCCACATCAGGAATAATCAAACATTAATTCCTGTGAAAGGCTGATAATTGCCCCAACATGCGATATTCTCCGCCAGTGATGCCCAATCCCTGCCAACCTTAAATTTCTCTAACACTAAGCTTGAATTAGTAAATTAAAGAACAAAAATATTTACACAAGGTACCTAGGTCACTACCCTGTTACTGAACAAAGTTCTGTTACTCCTGCAGCCTTAATTCTAAATGTCTGTCTACTCCATATGTCACGATTACCAGCAAAAACCTTACAGGAATCTGTCTACTCTGACCAACGGGATTACCGTCAGACTCGTCTGTCTAGTTCGCAGGCACACGAATTTACCCCCAGACTGAGAGCTAAATACTGTCTACTGCACTTCCTTGTATGATTACCGCCAGATGTAAGCCCTTGTCCTTGAACCGTGCTCAGAAATAAGACAGGCGTCCTTACTCTTATTTCTGTCCTGACAGACCGACTTTTACCTGTCGATCTGCTGTACAAATCATTTTGTACACCCCTGATTAAATTAAGAGAACTAAGTAATTGATTCTGTCGAGCCAATCCTCGTCAAGTCAAGCATGTCCCATTAACATTACGTTGCAATAGTCTTACTCACCAGTCTTAACCTAAACCAACAGTAGCCACCCAGCAGCACAGGCACGTCAGTTCCTTCAGCAATTATACAATTACTAAAGACCACAGCAATGCCACCATTTATAACGTATCTATGACGTAACTCGGGTGTGTTACCATTGATACCGCCACCAAGCGAGTTGTTACTAATTGTGACTGAAACTTAGTTACTTAAAACTACTTAATGCCTCCCACCATCTTCGCTTTTGATCAACAACATTATTTAACATAAGTACTTTACAGTGACCGGTGACGGGAGAGTTAAACGGTGTGAGTGTAGGATAACATGGGAGGAGTGAGAACAAAGTCGACTTCACTATTTACTGGCAACTCTATGAATGAATTACAGGTACGAATGGATATACAAGATGGACAATTTAGTAATATATATTTATTTAATTACGTTCAGTATAAAACTCCTGACCTATCTTCCCTATCAAGACAATATAATTATCAACACTTGTGATGTTAGAGCAAAATGGACCAGTACTCACTCAAGATATTCCGTGTAGACAAGTGCGATGCCCAGCACTAGACCCTAGACTTCTCTCTCGTCTGAGACACAGCACACACACACTCCTCTCCCTTGATTGATTAAGATTAAGCCAACCAGGAGGTGGCACGGGCATGAATAGCCCGTAATCCTCTCCCTCGATTGATAAAGATTAAGCCAAGAGTTTCTCTTTCTCTCGTGACAGCTTTTATTCCCGCCTATCCCAAATTTTCCGTTGATTGGACGGATTAGAATCTGGTAACAAGGGATTGCCTTCCAACTTTAGAAACTACTCTAGGTGAGGTTTGTGTCATCTTTCCTCACCTCCCTGTGAATGTCTAAGTCAGGAACCATCCCAAGTCTACTCAAGTCACCTCAACAACTGTTACAACTCTACTGCACTTGCCTATCAGTCAGGTGCAGTCGCACCTCCACAGATCTCCAGTATCAGCTATTGATACTGGTAATGGCTCCAAAGGGCCACCACTACGGGCTATTCATGCCCGTGCCACCTTTTGGGCGACTTAATCTTCATCAATCAATCAATCTGCCATTCACTACGGAGGCGTGAGGTTTAGCTACTAGTAACCTTGTTTTATCTGTTGCGTTTATATTAACTTTTCCGATGTTCGAATTCTGACGCCCTTAAAGGTGTGGATGGAAGTTTTTCTTCCACATACTTTCCCCTTGGTACATTCCACCTGTTGACCACCATACAGGTTGTTGTTGTTGTTGTTGTTAAAGATTCGCTACCTGGAACAAAAAGTTCCAAGCAACACGGGCTATGGTGAGCCCGTAGACCCATACAGGGCACGAGTTACATTTCTTCAACTCGTTTGTGTTTCCAGCCTCCACTTACGTATTCTCGTCTTACTTTTAAGGAAGCTGCCCTTGTCAATTCCCTTCAGTATCTTTTATGTTGCTATCATGACCCCTTCTGATTCTTTTTTCCTGTAGGGTTGTGAGGTTCAAATAAATTTGAGACAGTAAGATACATCTCAAAAGGATAGAGTAGCTTAGGCTATTACTACCACTTGAAGGGGCTCATAAATCCATACAGTACACAAATCATATTTTTCCTTTCACATTCCAATAAGCAGCTCATAGAACTTATTACAAACTGCTACCTGAGCATAAGTAAAGTAAGTAAAGTCAATTTTATTCAAGAAAGTACCTACATAGTTGATTTACAAACAATGTTGGATTTATAGATAGAACTAGTACGTACAATACCTAAAACCACTAATACGCATAGCTTTTCGGGCAATGATCCAAGGACGCAATAAAATGGCGGGAGTTATTACTTTGTTCGTTTTGAAAGACACTTAGAGTAATGATTCACACTTGCCAACCTTGAAATTCCTTCAAAATTTACCCGAGTGATATGCCGATACTCTCATATAAAAGTATTGCAGCAAAAATATCTTAGTTAAGGAATGTGTTTCACGAAAGGTTTGCTAACTTTAAATACTTCGACAAAGATTTCTATATTTTTTCGGAACACTCTACAGACTTCTTAACTTTCGCAACTACAAAATGCTTCGTTGTTTCCTACTAACATTTAATTCTGCAGGAATTTAATTACGAATCATTAATTAGATACAAATACTACATAAGAAACGAATGCTTTTAGTTGAAACGTAACACATTGCTTTAATTCCAAGAAACAGAACCCAGTGTTCAATTTCCGTTAGTGTACTTAATGTTTTTTTTTTATTACAGTGAGTGAGGTGAACAAGTCAAATGCCAATGGGGAGGACCAGGTCCTACACAATATGTACCTCCGGGAAAAACTTAAAGTAAGTGATTTGTTTCGTACCTTTCGTTATTTTATTGTATTATATTTATTATTCACCCAGCTAAGTACGGAAATTGCTGAGTTCATTCTGTGTTGAGTCTGGGAATTGAACCCAGAATCCTGGGAGCCGAGCGGACAGCACACTGGACTTGTGATCCTGTGGTCCCGGGTTCGATCCCGGGCGCCGGCGAGAAACAATGGGCAGTTTCTTTCACCCTATGCCCCTGTTACCTAGCAGTAAAAATAGGTACCTGGGTGTTAGTCAGCTGTCACGGGCTGCTTCCTGGGGGTGGAGGCCTGGTCAAGGACCGGGCCGCGGGGACACTAAAAAGCCCCGAAAGCATCGCAAGATAACCTGTCGGTTATGAGTCAAGAACGAAGCACAAGTGGACAGTCTGTGAGCATGAAGAAACTCGTGAAATAAATAGCATGCAGAACTTGGTAAAACAAGATTGAAGAGAGTATAGTAATAATGTTTGATAATGTTGTATGACAGGTCTGAAGAAAGTGAACTCTAGTAAATGTGAGAGAAAAGGGAGACAGTGACCAAGAGAGCGGTCAGGCATGGCGAGTGATGTGGTTTAGTATGAACTCAGCAGAAGTGATACGAAGATTAATTGGCTGTTGATTGTATTGTCTTGAATGATCATAGTGGTGACTTATGAAAGGTTTCTGATTCTTCCCGATAAGTTACTTAGCTGTTTCCTGAATGTTGCACTTTCTTAGTTTTTCATCTTTAGTGGGTTTACTAAAGCCGCTAACACTAGTGGCCTCGACGAGGACAGGAAGCCGGCGGCTTGTCGAAGACCCCATTTGGTTTTTATCTTTTCCAGGTGTACTTTAAATGTTAACAGTTTTGGCATTTACGGCTTCGGCGGGTAGGCAGCTCCATGGGCTTATAACCCTGTGGGTGCAAAAGTATCTCCTGTTCTCAGTCCTACATTGTGACTTGTTGAGCTTAAAACCGTTGCTCCTTGTTTGTGTTACATCTGTACTTTTGAAGAAATTTCAGATGTAACACAAGGAGCAATGGTTTCAAGCTCAACAAGCCCATTTAGACTGAGAACAGGAGATGCTTCTTCACCCACAAGGTTATAAACCCCATGGAACCGCCTGGTTCCATGGATTTATAACCAGTGGGTATGCTCATCCACTGGCTTACTGCTGTTTTGAATAAGAATTTTGTGTTGTTTTCTCTTCATTGTGGCTTGGCAAATTTGAAATTGCTTCCTTGTGGTATATCAAGCTAGACTTCTTGAAGAAGTGGTGGGAGATTGTTTACTTGAATTTACCTGAGGGGCACCATCTATTTAGTGTCCACGATGGGGACAGGAAGGAAGCCACTGACTTGTCAAAGGTCACCTCATTTTCCTGATAATTTTTTTTTTACCAGGATTTTGAACCAGAGGTGGTAGGTTCAAGACTTGAAGCTTGAAACCTATGGCTTGGTCAGGTAGGTGGTTCCATGGGTTAATGACACTAAGGTGAAAAACATCTATTTCCTGTTCTACATTGTGATTTGTTTAGCTTAAAGATGTTGCCCCCTTCTATGTGTTACTTTTGATCTTTTAAAGGTGTGGTCTAGATTGATATCCTCTTCCACTTTCAGTATTTTAAATTTGTATGAGATCCGCCCTGTCATGTCTGGTTGTTAGTGTTGTTAGTCCTGCTAACACCTTTCCTGATATGAGAGTTGACTTGGTTCTGGGATGAATTTTGTCGCTCTATGTTGTGCTTTCTCCAGTGCAGATATGTCCTACTTAAAATGGTCTCCATGCTTGGATACAGTACACATTTCTTAAAATTCCATTGTAATCTTATGAGGTGTTGATAATGCAGACTTGATAGGAAATTATTTTAATGTAATTATTACATACAACCACTGTTACATATATGATGAAAAAAATATACATATATTTTCAGGACTTACAAAAATCGTTGGAGAACGAGCTGGGGAATATCATTGAAAAGCGCTTACAAGATTTTGAGGAGGAGAACCTGCCAGTATCAGAATGTTTGGCCAGAAACACTATGGCATCGTTTGCATCTGCATTCCCACAATCTCACACCAGATGCAAAGAGTATGTTTAAAGTGGGAAAAGTTCGAAATGTGTTGTTAACCTTTTATCATACCAAATTAGCATAATTGTGTTGATTTCACTATATTTTCAATTACAGTACTAAAACATGTACAGTAGCATTAAATATGTAGAAATAATTAACTTTAAAATTAAACTTTTAATGTTTAAATACAAAAGATTTTTTTTTTTTTTGGGGGGGGGGAGTTTGAACAGGTTCATATGAGCATACCATGAGAAAGGAGAAGCCATGTGGCATGGCAAGGGCCTCTCAACCACAGGCACAGTTGATGATGTAGATACCCATCCAGTTAATTTAGGCTCATACAGTGTGCATCTTTTGTTTTTGCACGCTTATTTAAAACAAATTGTTTTCAGGTAGCGCATGACGAAACCTCAGTGTATCACATTTAAACTTTCAGTTCAGTACCTATAAGTGGTGATTATGGTGGTACAGTGATGGTACCTATTATGATTGTGACTTTTAGCTTGTAGCTTATGTGCTGGCATATTTTAAAATATTTTAGTACATTGTTAAAGATGTGATACCTGAAAAACAAATTAGCATAACTGTACTAAAATATCTACATTAGTTTTGATGCCAGAGGATGATTCCAGTAGTGTCGGTTACAATTGCTACATAAATGTTTTTCATTAGGACAAATGTTCATGTACAGTATAATATATTTGTAATATAGCCATTATAATTATTTTAGCAAATAAACACTTATTATTATATATTATGAATATATTCCAACAACAGGGCAAAAAAGCCGGGTGAACTTCCTAGCCGTTTATATATTGCTCGTCCTTCGTTGTTGAAGGAGCTACTGACTGTCAACCACATGGAGAGTATTTATAACATCTTTGTTGCCATTTTAGTCCTTCTGTTCTTCAACAAAGTCTTGGAGGAAATCATTCATTCTGGAAGGTTAGTGGATATTTTTTTTTCCTTTCTTTCCTTTCTTTCTTTCTTTCCTACTTTTTCTTTCTTTTTCCTTCTTCTTTCTTTTTTTTTTCTTTCTTTCTTTCTTTCCTTCCTTCCTTCCTTCCTTCCTTCCTTCCTTCCTTCCTTCCTTCCTTCCTTCCTTCCTTCCTTCCTTCCTTCCTTCCTTTCTTTCTTTCTTTTCTTTCAGTGTATGTGTGTGTATAGTCACAGGATGAGAGCTACATTTGTGCTGTCCTGTCTTCCCAGTACTCTTTGTTTTATGATGTTTTGGAGCTGTTGACTGTTTTGGCATCCATCGCCTTTTCAATGTAAATTGTTCCACCCTTTTTCCACTTTGTTTGCTAAAGAGAACTTACATATTTTTAGAGCACTTTTCTTTCCTTAGCTTCAATCTATGGCCTCCTGTACTTGAAGTTTCAGGTTTCATAAACATCTCATTGTCAACTGTGTATTCTGTTGCTGTTTTGTATGTGGTGATCATATTGATATGAGGCCTTCTCCTAAACATAGTATATTCTCAATGGTTTTTATTTCTCCTACTGCTCTGTCCACCCTAGATGTTAAGGGGCCTGATGGCAGAGTGGACAGCGCTCGGGGTTCGTAGTCATAAGGGTCTGGGTTCGATCCCCGGCGGAGGTGGAAACAAATGGGCAGTTTCTCTCACTCTGATGCTACTGTTCACCTAGCAGTAAATAGGTACCTGGGAGTTAGACAGCTGCTATGGTCTGCTTCCTGGGGATGTGTGTGTGTGTGTGTGTGTAAAAATTAGGATTAAGTGCTTGCCCAAAATGCTATGAGTGCTAAATAAGTAAAAAATAAAAATTATATCCTTTTCCAAGCACCCTCAAATTATTATGAACATCTATCTACAATGTTTTGTACTAATTTACTGCTTATGAGAAGCTACTTTTTAATTGCTTGTCTAATATTTGATTCTTGCTGCTCATTCCTATTCTTGACATCCAAACGTACTTCTTTAATTGTTTCTTTTTCTTTTACAACTTGTGCATATGTTTTTTCATTTCTTCTTTATACTTCTGCAATCCCTAAATAACTTGCTCTACTTGATCTGTCCATGAAATTTTCCTTTGTCCTGTATCAGGGACCCCTAAACACTTTCAAGCGTTGCCCAGTTTTCCCCTCGGCTCTCACCTCACCAGGGAGCTGCCGATAAAATAAATAAACACAATAATATCCAACTTTCACCACCTCTACTACTAACACCAGTGGAACGCACACTGAAGAGTCACCAGGTAATGAACTTAAATATGGAGAAGGGGCTCAACGTCACACTATTGGGGATTTGGCTCAGAACTGGCTAATTGCCCTTGCCATATGTATCTATTTTCCCTGTTAATTTTTTCAAATTCAACTCTCCTTCAATTTTTGTTATCTCACTATCTTCTTCAAGTTGTTTGATATGTAATTCCTGTCCCTTCACCTTGGTTTTCAAGCTTTTATTCACTTCTTGCTGTTGCAAAAGGCTTCTTTCAAATACAGTACAGTATAAGGTTTTCCTTCATAAATGTTTTTGAAGATAAAACTAACCTGCCCATAAGACCATTTTTTCTCTCTCTCAGTAAATCCGTTGAAATTTGTCTCGTATGGCAGATCCAGGGTGGCGGTCATCTTGTTTGTTGATTTGTCTGCTTCAGTGTGACATGCCTCCCATAAACCTTCCCAAATTTGTATACAGTGTCTTCTTTCAGACAGTCGCTACTCTACCTTCTATAACTTGATCATGGAATGCTTAAAATAGTAGGGACACTACTTGCTGTGTGCACGATTACCTAAGTGTAGTTACAGGATGAGAGCTGTACTTGTGGTGTCCCATCTTTTCAGCCATCTTTATTATATGGTTTAATGCTTTGAAACTACTGATGGTTTTGGCCCCCACCACCTCACTTGTTCCAGCCATCTACTTTCTATTTGCGAAAGTGAAATTTCTTATACTGTACTTGTATTTTTCAGCAGTTTTCTTTAGTTAGCTTAAATCTGTGACCTATTGTTCTTAAAGTTTCAAGTCTCTGGAATTCTTCCTGATCGATTTTGTCGATTCCCGTTACTATTTTGTTGATGGTGAACATATTGCCTCTTTTTCTTCTATCTTCTAGTTTGGCATATTTAATGCCTCTAACCTCTCCTCATAGCTGTTGTCTTTCAGTTCCAGTAGCCATTTAGTTTCATGTCTTTGCACCTTTCCCAGTTTGTTGATGTTCCTCTTTAGGTATGAACATCATACAACCACTACATATTCCAACTTTGGTCTCACTAATGTCGTGAACAATTTCATTAGTATTTCACCATCCATGTATTTAAAAGCAATTCTGAAATTGGAAAGTGTAGCATAGGCTCCTTGCACAGTGTGTTTTTTGTGTGCTCCTCGGGTGACAGTTTTCTATTTAGAACCACTCCTAGATTTCTTTGTGTCAGTTTTTTAATTCCTTTCCATATATTTTGTATGTTGTGTGTGGTCTATTTTCTCCTATTCACATTCTTGGAATTTGTGTGTGTGTGTATTTTTCTAAATGTTTAGCATAAGTCAGACTTTTATGTAATTGTAATTCCCTTGTAATCCTTTGTTTGAGAGATTCTGTCATTGTGTTGGATTATAGCTTGCTAGTGGGGAGGCTTCTTACAAACCCTTATTTAAATATTTTTACTTCAAAAGCTTACAATTAAAATCAGACAATTAAAGATTTAAAAATCAGACAAAGTAGTCCCATTTATTTAGCTATCCTATGAATTAATTTAAATATATCTCCATGCAATGCCTGATTTTACATATTTTCATAAAACATTTTGAATCTTCCTAACCTGCAATATTAGAATAATTCTTCTTCTGTTCTTTCAGTAAGCTGGAAACCAATGGTTTCCATTCACATAATTATTCTGTTTCTTTCAGCCCAAATTTAGATCTCTCCCTCATAATCTGGGCATTTGGTGAACTAGACCGTGTAATTGTCATATGGGTTTGCATGTTCACATGCACGTCAGTCCTGGTCTACATGAGCTTCCACCATTGGGCACACTTCAGACATAATATGCCAAGTATGTAATATATATCTGTAATAGAGAATGTCTATATACTCAGTTGTGCATACAGGGGTTGAGCTTTGGCTCTTTAGTCCTGCCACTTGACTGTCAATCAGCTGGTGTACAGGTTCCTGAGCTTATGGGCCCTTATCATGTCTATATGTGTGTGTCTTTGTCAAAGGCTGGAGGCAAGATGCATAGGGCTAGCCTTATCCAACTTTCACACATCAATTATGTGGGGTAGGGGAATGTCATAGTCATGTCAATGTCAGTCAGGTTCGGCCCAAGTGAAATGTTTTAAGAAATATTGGCATTTATAGATCCCTGCATACCTATTTTCATGGAGTCAGATCTGAAATATTTGTTGTATTTCCCATACAGTTGTTTCAGTGCTGCTTAATATAATTTCCATGATATTGTAAGGGAAAGAGGGGAGGGACAAAAGGGAAGACTAAAGGAAAGGGAGACAGGGCAAAAAGGGAGAAGATAGAAAAATGGGGGAAGATGGGGAAAGGGTGGAAAGAATGTAAAGATTGGAAATTTAAAGCCTTTTATAAATTCAACCTGTTCTCTTACCAATAATGTCGTTGTTCGCTTGTACTGTACTGTATATGCTACAGCCAAAAATTGCCGTAATCCAAAATGGAAATTTATTTTCCAAATTAAATTGACCCAAAACAGCAAGTTTTGGGTCCTCTGGTAGGTTAGAAGGGTAGCAAGTTCTTCTAAGGTTTCAAAACATCATAAAAACTGTTAATTTAAAGTGTCCTTTCTTAACCTAACAGACTATAGTGGGCCAGCCAGAGGCTTAGGGCCCGTGCAGGAATATCCCTGCCAAAAAAAAAAAAAAAAAAAAAACTAACAGACTAAGCTAGAGGACCCAAAACAGAACAGTACGTCACTTTGGTGAGCCGCTTCCATTTTCTATTATGGCAATTTTTAGCCGTAGTGTGCATTTGAGCGAAAAGCAACGTTATTTGTTAGAGGATGAGTTGTAATGTTTAAGGCTTGGATACAGTGATAAGTAGATTAGTATAGAATATAAAATATATCTAGTCACAAGTTACATATCAATAAAATCCATTGCATTTGCTTTTTGATTTTAAATAATAAACTGAAAATTTTCTTTAAATCTTTTACTTTAACAAAACATGATTTATTTTTTGTCGAATCTCCTTTATTGCTATTTATTCCATGGCCTGCACCCTACAGTTGTATATGATGTAGTTGGAGGGATGCTGTACATCGTTTACCTGTGCCTCTTCCTCTACCTGCCCTTGCAAAGTCTTCTCAACAATGACCTTCCTCCTGCCTCGTCTTTCATTATACTGTGTGAACAGGTAAGATTGTCGGGCCTTTGTGGTTCAATTTGTTTGCTTTTTAATTATCTTTGTTAATAGTTGTAAAACTAACTTCTATAATTATGTTTGTATGATATTTGACTAAGATGCAGCTATTCCAACTGTGCATTTAAGATTAGAATCGTGTCACACATTTTATTAGATAATTATATTGTTTGTCTACATACAGGTTAGAATGTTCATGAAGACTTGGGCGTTTGTAAGAAGTAATCTTAATCGTGCAATCCAATTCAAAAAAGACGATGATGATGTTCAGGGGAAAAGCGTTTGTCCTGATTTTTCGTACTATCTGTATTTCCTCTTTGCACCAACATTGGTTTATAGAGATGAATATCCAAGGTTTGTAAATTCTATTTGTTTGTATTAGTCGGTTGGAAGAATGTGTGTGTGAAAAGATGCAAAGAAATACCAAATGGACTTTATGTAATTATTTATAGTTCTATTTCACAAAGTAGTGTGGATTTTAAATAGTTCATCCTAATTTAACTATTTGTTTTTTTTTTACATTATTGTTAATATTGAATAGTATAAATATACTATTATACAACCCATCCTCTTAAAATTATGGTACTTACAGCAACTATTTGGTCGAAAGCATAAAAATTCATAAATAAATAAGCAAAGCATAAATAGATTCCTCTTAGAAATCACACATCCCAGGTGTTTAAAGTGATTGACTACATCCAGAGCGTCACCATTCATATTAATTATTAATTTGACACATTCACTTTTAAGTCTTCTTTTGCATAAATAACAAATTTCAACTAGTTTCCATAAATTGCTATGCCATCTACCTTTGCTACACACACTTTTCTAAATTGATAAAGACTCTGCACTTTATACACTCTTTTTCACGTACTGTCTCAATGCAACTAGCTGATCTAAATGCCTCTCCCACCACAGAACCCACCTTATTTATCATGCTAAATATTCAATAATACCTGTACTCTATGCCATAGCCTTTTCCCAATAAACTTGGTAAATAAAATTCTTACATTCACTATGTTCTTTATTTATATACAGTGGTATAATTACAGATTTTTTTTCCTCTCAAATCATCTGTCACAGTGCCACTATCTCATGCCTTTTGGTAAATTCTCCACACCCACTCCATTTTCATGTTAGCTTATTGATATTTTTATTGTTTATCTTGCTCAATTTTGTGTACATCTTTGTTACATTTTATTTAAAAGCAAATTACTTTTTATTTTGTTTTGCAGAAACCAAACTTGTGACTGGCAGAAAGTGATTAATGACTTAGGTCAGGTTATTGGTTGCTTGTTTTATACTCACTTTCTGTTTGTGCGATTTTGTGTACCTGTCTTCCAGAAGTTTGGCCAGGAGTCTTTCAATACGGTAAGAGACATATGAGCAAATTGATGTGGTTAATTTGTACTGACCACATTAATTTTATTGACATTGTTTACCTGTTCAAATTATTTCAATTGAACAGTTGTTCAACTAACTATTGTAGTTAGCAAGAAAATACAAGTATAAGAGTAAAAGATACGAGAAGTTTAATTATACAGTACAAAAAAAAAAGATTAAATTAATAAGTTAAAGAGGATACAGTGAGCTTTATTGTAAAGAAGTAAGGTAATATAGCAGGGAGATTAATGAAACAGTAAAGGAGAATTTTGAAGATACACATGGGAGAATATTAAATGAAGAGTTTTATAAGTATGTGGAGAGAGAATTTTGAAAGTAATGGGTGAATATGATGAAAGAGGTTTGAATGTGAACATTATTAGATTTGATAGTGCAATAAGAGTGTAGTTTCATATCATGTAAAAACATTAAGAAAGATTATAAATCATTTTATGCCTATATAGGAAGTAAAACCAAGACAAAATATTCTGTAGAACCCCTTAAAAGATGAGACCAACCAAGGTATATTTGACAATTAAAAGGCAAATGTTCATACTAGAAAGTTCTAGTTCAATGCAATAGTCATAGTAGAAAGTACATATTAGAAAGAAAGAATACTACAGCAATGTTCATATTAGAAGGATTTGGCAACATCCCAGCACCCACATAAGCATTAGAAGAGAATGAATTAAGGGATAACAGTGCACATCGCAACTATCAAATCAAAGACACTACCATGCGGCAAGTGGATTGATGAAAAAGAGGACTTAGGAGCCAGGATCTACCAGTCATTGAAAGCTGTGCAAATGGGAGCTGTAGTGAAAAATAGCCAAGGAAACTATAAATAATCAAAGGAACCATTGACTTCAGGGAAAACAGTGATTATTAAATTGTACATGTCTGATGCACCCCTGTAAGGACTACTGTATCCAAGCATGGAAACAGTCTTCAAAAGTACAGTTAATACCTGCTTTGGAGAAAGTTCAACACAAAGCAACAAAAATCATTCCAGAACTAAATCGACTCTTGTACCAGGAATGGTTGAAGGCCACAGGGCTAGCAATATTGCAAACTGGACATAATAGGACTGATCTCATCAAGACCTTTAAAATACTGAACAAATTGGAGGATATTAATCCAGACCACATCCTTAAAAGGTCAAATGTAATGAATTCAAGGGCCATTGCTGTTTCTAATTTATATAAATGATCTTGCAGGAGTGAGCTCGTATATGTTGATGTTTGCAGATGATGCAAAGGTAATGAAGAGAGTAAGAACTGAAGAGGCTGCAAGGAGACGTTATCAAACTTCAGGAGTGGGCAGATAAATTACTGCTAGAGTTCAATCCAAATAAGTGCAAAGTAGTGAAAATTGGTAGGGGGAGACAGGTATATAGGAGACCTGTACTTAACTATACCATGAAAGCAATTACAAGAAATAATAAAAGAAAAAGACCTGGTGGTAGACATAATCCTGACACTAACACCAGAAGCTCATGTGAACAGGATAACAACAACATATGAGAAATTAGCAAACATAAGAATGTAATTTAAGAATCTAAACAAGGAGGCTTTAAAATCCATACACGATGCCTATGAAAGGCCATCACTTGAGTATACAGCTCCAGCATGAAACTCATACCTTTTGAAGCATGAATAGAAACTTGAGAGAGTTCAGAGGTTTGCAGCTAGATTAGTACCATGCTAATCTAGCATGGTACTAATGGAACCTGTCCTCAGGCCTCACCTGAAAACAGGTTCCCTCAACTTGTCTCTGGCTTGTGTAGTCTAGGAATTCTACCTTCAATGCTTCTCTTCAAATGCACAAAAAAATCACATTAATGTAATGTATCGATGAGAAAAGCAGTAGGAGCGATGAGGATGATTCAAACCTATGCTCTAAGTACTCCCAAGCAAATGCCTTGGACAACTACACCATGACATGGTAAAAGCATTTCAACCGGGGATTCAACTGTATCCTCTAGGGTTCCTAGGGCTTCCATTGAAGCTGGAAATCAGAGTTTCATATGCCCCCCATGTACTATGGCTTGTGCATGGGGGCATTGTATAAAACAAATTAACTATAGAATTTGGTTTTAAATATGCTAGGTGGCTTTCATAAGGCCCAACTATGTCTCGTAATGTTGCCTCCATTTATGAACTGTGTCCCAACATCTTAAGCAAAACACATATCCCTTGTTTCAGCAAACTCTTATTCATTGAATTGGGCAAGTAAATTTGGTGTGGAAAGTGAGTTTCAACCAGAGATTTGCAGAATTAAGGTTCATTGAAACAAATTTCCTGTGTAATATATTTTTGTTTCCAGTACTGTATTTTTAAGTAATACGTGTAATGTTAAATAATTGGTTTACTAACTAATACACTTACAGACAAATCTCATGGTGGCTGTGTTCTCCTGCATGTTCCCGGGATCTCTCGTTCTCCTCTGCGGGTTCTTTTCCATCCTTCATGCCTGGCTGAATGCTTTTGCCGAGATGATGCGTTTTGCTGACAGAATGTTCTATAAGGTAAATTGTAACATTTTACATTAATTATTTCTAGAGAGTTTACAGATCGATTCTTTTCCTTAAACTTAGGCTTTTCTAAGGTTAAATTTATATTGATTAGAGTTGAATAGGAGTTTTGTAATAAATATTCACTACTGTATATACCATTTGCTGATTTAATATTAGTTCTAACATGACATGTTAGGTACTAATAAATGTAGTTTATTATTTGTTTAATATTAGTTTATTATTAGTATATTATTCCACAAGAAGATCATCTGCTGGGTTCTGGGGGTTTGCTTCTGTTGTTCATGTCCAGGGAGTATAGAACATCCTAACCTATGGTCTGTCTCGGTTCCACCCCATCTTTACAGAGTGGACCGTCAATACTGCCTCCTTTCTGTGGCTTTGCTAGACATTAGAGTGCCCAGTTTTGAACCTCTTCACATTGGCTTAGTCTTGGCTGCTTCCTCTTTACGTAGTGTCATTCCCTGACTGCGAGGCCCTCACAGTAGATGCCTTTCAGTTGAACTGGTCAAGGTGGGGATTCCTGTACCTCTTCTTCCTGGTCTGGCTGCTTTTCCGGATCCTGGCGCGTTTGTGGAGTCCTCCAGGGAGAGGGTGATTCTTATGGCTTGCTGGTATCTAGCCCAGCCTAGGTTTCATGTGCAGCTTGCTAGATGTCCAAACCTAGTTGTTTTCCTGCAAATCAGCCGCTTTCGGATGGTAGGCCCAGTGATGTACTTCCCTGGTTTGACCTCCTTAGCACCACCCGTCTGGGGTTTCTGACACATCTATCTTCATCTTTTTGGTGATTGGTGGCTGGTTTGATGTTACCCCACCTGCAGCCCTCCTCCAGGCAGCAGTAAGAGGTTTTGTGCTGTGCATTCTGCCACTTTCTGTCCCTTCATTGTCTTTTGGTGTCGGGGCAGGTTGTTCTTTTCTTGATCGTCATTTCGAGCCATATACTGTCACTTCGTATCGTGCGGCGTTGGCTGTGCCTCTACAACTTATGTTCCGGGTTGATACCAGCTCGGCCCCATTTTGCAAGCTTTCTCATGCACTGTTTCACCTCCAGCCTGCTCATGCACCATCTAAGCTCACTGGGTCTTTGGGCCGTGTTCATTTCTTCCTTTCGTTGGCACGTTTTACTGTGTTCCCATTGGTTCAGGATTGTATTCTTAAGGCATTGTTTTTAATTTCTCTTGCTCCTAGTTGTTGTTGAGTGGGTGTGCCTTGTGCTCTCTTTTGGCCTGGAGGTTTTTGTTCATTTGGCTCTGGGGGGGCTAGTTTGTGTGTTTGCAGCTGACTCCTCCTTTTCTGGTGAAGAACAAGTCAGTTGACTTCCGGTGGGGTTAGTTGGTTGTTGATGCTTGGTTGGTTCGGCAGGGAATTCAATACGTGTTGTGTCTGGTGGCGGCTCTTTACTGCTACCTTTGTCCCAGTGCTTCTGCTTCAATGGATTCATTGTAGGTTGATCTAGTTTTCCTGGTTCCCTCTTCCAGGGATCATGTTTCTCAGGTTGTCCACAGTGTTATCAAGTCAAGCCAGCCTGCAGTCTACCCTTGTGCCTATAGCATACCCTCATAGGTATGCCGCTGTCAGCTGTTTCTGCCAATATGTCGTGGGCCGATATTCGGGCACAGGGATTTTGGTGGTCGAAAAGGGTCCTGGCGACCAGGTATCTTGTTAATGTTCGCAATTCTTGTTGGCCTTGTGTGAGGCCTTGGGTTTTGTGTCATGGCCGGGGGTCTCGTCTTCATTTTGATACTTGCTGTGTTCCCTCATCCCTGGTAAGGGCCCTTTTTCTTTCCTTCTATGTGGATAGATAGCATCAGGGTCACAAGGGGATCCACCCCCAGATAACCAGTGTTGAATATAATGAAACTCCAATTTCTTGGTGAGCCCCAATGGCTCTCTGCCACCCACCCTCCCTCAGAGAGTCTAGGGTGTTTCCATCATCATAGAACTGAGGGTGGAGCTGCCGGCTGACCCTGGCTGCCTTCCCCCTACCCTTCTAAACGAGGGGGAAAGGTGGGGCAAAGAAGCTTGAACTAGTTTTGTGAATTTTCAATCTTTTGTTAACATTGTTGGTGGAGTTTATTTGGCAGTTTGGAGGCAGCAGTCTTGTTTCAAATCAGCAGTGACCTCTTTTGTTGCACTGTTTTTCTGGGTGCCTTCTCTAGTGGGTGGCAGGCATGAATAACTTCATAGAAATGTTATCATAAGTGCCACTGCTCCCTGCACCTCTAGAGGGGGCCAGGTTCTGGCTCGTGGTCCCCAGTAGGCCTGCAACAGATGGCATCTAGTAGTCTGGCACTGTATCAGCATAGTAGCTTCAGGGTGCCACTGGGGCTCACCCAGTGTTTCATTACATTCAATACTGTTTTTTTTTTTTTTGGCACCATTTAGTCTTAGATTGCCTGGCTGGTCCCAGCTACACAAGTCAAGAACACCTTCATCTACATTTACTTTCACTTAATTTCTGCTCCCAGTCTGCTACATGACAGTTATTCCATGGTGTGAAGAATACATGTTCTAGTTAAAGTGTGTTATAAGTAATAATAAATATATATATAATAAATAAATAAATAAATAGATATATAAATCTCAGTGTGATATTTTTTCCACTGTAAGGTGAGCATTTTTTGTAGTGTGGACAGGATCTTTTAATTATATATTTGTATTAGGATACCATACTTTGATTTTCGGCTAAATTAATCATAATTTTTTATAAGTTATTTTCCTTTTAGGACTGGTGGAACTCAACATCATATGCTCGATTTTACCGCACCTGGAACTGTGTAGTGCACGATTGGCTGTATGAGTATGTATATAGGGATATCGTTGCATTGCAGGTGAGCTACATTACAGTATTAAATATTCACTCCCTCAGTCTCTATACCTCTGTTTCTCTGCATCAATCTCTCTCTCTCTCCCTCGGCGAGAGAGAGCGCGCGCGAGACAGAGCGCGCGCGAGAGAGAGAGAGAGAGAGAGAGAGAGCGCGAGAGAGAGAGAGAGAGAGAGAGAGAGAGAGAGAGAGAGAGAGAGAGAGAGAGAGAGAGAGAGAGAGCGCGAGAGAGAGAGAGAGAGAGAGCGAGAGAGAGAGAGAGAGCGCGAGAGAGAGAGAGAGAGAGAGAGAGAGAGAGAGAGAGAGAGAGAGAGAGAGAGAGAGAGAGAGAGAGAGAGAGAGAGCGCGAGAGAGAGAGAGAGAGAGAGAGAGAGAGAGAGAGAGAGCGCGAGAGAGAGAGAGAGAGCGAGAGAGAGAGCGAGAGCGCGAGAGAGAGAGCGAGCGCGCGCAAGAGAGGGCGAGCGCGCGCGAGAGAGAGAGCGAGCGCGCCCGAGAGCGAGCGAGCGCGAGAGAGAGAGAGAGCGAGCGCGAGAGCGAGAGAGAGCGAGAGCGCGAGAGCGAGAGAGCGCGAGAGAGAGAGAGAGCGCGAGAGCGAGAGAGCGAGAGAGAGAGAGCGAGCGCGAGAGAGAGAGAGAGCGAGCGCGAGAGAGAGCGAGCGAGCGCGAGAGAGAGCGAGCGAGCGCGAGAGAGAGAGAGCGAGCGCGCGCGAGAGAGAGCGAGCGAGCGCGAGAGAGAGCGAGCGAGCGCGAGAGAGAGCGAGAGAGAGCGAGCGAGCGCGAGAGCGAGCGAGCGCGAGAGAGAGCGAGCGAGCGCGAGAGAGAGCGAGCGAGCGAGCGCGAGAGAGAGAGAGCGAGCGAGCGAGCGCGAGAGAGAGCGAGCGAGCGAGCGCGAGAGAGAGCGAGCGAGCGCGAGAGAGAGCGAGCGAGCGCGAGAGAGAGCGAGCGAGCGAGCGCGAGAGAGAGCGAGCGAGCGAGCGCGCGCGAGAGAGAGAGCGAGCGAGCGCGCGCGAGAGAGAGAGAGCGAGCGCGCGCGAGAGAGAGCGAGCGAGCGCGCGCGAGAGAGAGAGAGAGCGAGCGCGCGCGAGAGAGAGAGCGAGCGAGCGCGCGCGAGAGAGAGAGCGAGCGCGCGCGCGAGCGAGAGAGAGAGCGCGCGCGCGCGAGAGAGAGAGCGAGCGAGCGCGCGCGAGAGAGAGAGAGCGAGCGAGCGCGCGAGAGAGAGAGCGAGCGAGCGCGCGAGAGAGAGAGCGAGCGAGCGCGCGCGAGAGAGAGAGCGAGCGAGCGCGAGAGAGAGCGAGAGAGAGCTCGCGCTCTCTGTGTGTGTGTGTGTCGTTCGCTCGCTCGCACGCACGCACGCATGCATTCACTTTCTTGCCCACTCACTCATTCATCATATTGAATATCATTGAATGATATTCAATTGACCATGTCTTTACCTTATTCCCTTCTGTTTTTACTTGTTTCTTTCCTTCTACTTTCCCCATTTACTGGATAATAATAAATATAATTATTCTAAAAAATATAATTAGATATACACTGGCTTCCTGTAAGAATGGTTATTAATACATTAGCTGTGCCTTTAGACTACAAACTCCGAATATCATATTTAATTATTCATTATTGTTTATTAATCTGAAAGAATATTAAATACAGTAATTATACATTTACAATAAATTAAATGAATATTCTTTAGTACAATATTCCCAAACAAATATAGTCAAGACTCTTGGATCTAATGCTAGATGTTAAGCAAGTACAGTACATTACAGTGAACCCTTTTCCACCCTGTCCAAAGAATGGCTGGTTTTGGTACCCTGAAGCATCTAATATCATCAAATTATTGTTAAATTGCTTGTACTTTTTTTTTTTTTTATACCATCTTTGTCATTTTCCCCATACATCCTTGTCCTTTTAGAGAAAGCATGGTGAAGGTTGTGCACGGCTTCGGTGTTTCCCAATGCTGGTGGTCTTTTTCATATCATCGGTGGTGCATGAATACATCTTGGCCTTTGCATTTAGGTTTTTTTTTCCTGTCCTTCTCATCATGTTTGGAGGCTTTGGAGGTAACACAATATATTTACAGTAGAACTTTTTTGTTGTATGCAGTGTTTGATAATCATATTAAATAATATTCAAAATGGAGCACTTCATGTACTTAATGAAGTGCTCTTTTTCAGGGCTAGTACCTTGATTACTCCTGTAGCCATAGCTCATGTGGTCAAACCAGGACACCGTTTATCAGCTGACTTTGAGACTTAACACCTCAGGCTGACAAATATATGAAAATATATTTCTAATGGCAATGAAATGTAATTGTTAATGGGAGACAGTGGAATTATGTCTTAATCAACCACCCACTGACTGACTTACTATAATAATGTACAAAAGAAACATTCCACACTCAACATCCCTTGAAATCTATACTTAATACCATAGGAGCTTCTACTGTTTTTTTCCAAACTACTTTCAACCAAATATAACTACACATCACACCACTAGATGTCAACATCAATCGCCACAACTGGATCGGAGGAGCTCCACTTAATCGGAGCTGCCACCCTAACATGCAGGAGAAAGTAGGAAAAAAAGAGGTGAACTTGAAAAGAGTACAATATTTAATATTCTGGTACTCATTGTTCCATTTTTGAGCTAAGGTTACTTGGCTGTTCATAGCCACACTAACAAGGCAGAGCATGTGGTGCAGACAGAAATAAACAAACCAAGCAGGAACCAGTACTAATCCACAACAGAGGGGGAAGAAAGGAGGTAGTAGCTAAAGTTGCACATCTGGGACAAGAATCCCGGAAAACGGGTCAAGGTATGGAGCTGCTTGATAAGATTGTCCATCATGGAGGTCAAGTAAATAACAAACAGGTATCACATCCTCCAATGGATGTGTCACCTGAGGAAGATTGTAATGATCAAAGGCATGAGCCAATCAAAGAATGGGTGAAGAGAATTAATCTATAGTGGATGCCAGGTATTAAGTGAGAGTTGCTGGCTTCTTTGCCTGTTATAGTGATTAGTGCTGATATTTTATGACAATAATTTTCTTTGGTTTGTTATTGTTTCCAAATGTTAGGACAGGTTGTTAAGTGTGGAGTTTTATTTTTTTATTAGTTTACAGAGATTGGATGAATAATAGTTTAATTGAGATACTGGACTTTCCATGGTCTTTCAAATACATAACACTTTTTTAAATGGTCATGATGGGATTTTAAGTAAATAATTACAAAAAGAAAGTGTCAATCTTGGAAGGTTGTGTAGCACTGTCTGTGTTACAGGATATTCAAAAGTTCTTAGATATCATTCAAGATGCCAATATGAGAGCAGGAAAACACAAGACAAGTGATGTCAAAGGAATCAGCTTCACTGAGGCGTTTATAAAGATATGACTAAGAAATCGTAGAAATGGTGGGATGTTAAGTCTTACAGAGCCTAAAAGTACGGTAAATAGTGTCCTGGGTGGACCATACAGATTTGGTTTTGGACCCACCGAGGGGTCTTAGTTCAGGAAGAAATGTAAGCTTTTTGGGTGTTGAGGAAATTATAGTACTGTATAATGATTACTAATTCCTATAGATCTTGGTTGAAGGAAGTACAGAGAGGAAGTCTCGCCTTAACTCTTGAACAGTGGCTATGGTCATACCTGCCTGTGTAAAAAAAAATTATTATAGATTTTTCATTATAATTTATTAATTTGGATGGAAGATGTAAGAAAAACATGAAAATAAGTAAATATTTATCATTTCACTGGGTAGAGGTGCTGTGGAAGGTCGTGGTAGATGTGTCTGGCGCCTGTCAACACCCGTTCCCCGACTGCCTAAATTAACCTAAATTAGCTTAGTACTGTGCATTTACTCTGAAAACAGATTAAAGCTCTAAAAACATGCAAAACTATCAAGTAGGGGATTAATGGTATGTTTCAGAGAGAAGGAATATATTCATTGCAATGTCTGTCAAAGAATTAGTTTAGCGTTATGAATAAGCCAGAGCAAATAAGCAAATTTTAGTAAAACTACAATGTGTACATTATGCAAGAGATACTGTAGCTGTATTATTTTGTATAACTTCCACATTTATTTTTGTTTGTCCGTTGGACTGAATTGTACTAGTGTGTGTGTGTGTGTGTGTGTCTGACAACTTCAATTAATTTTTACTAAAGTAATTGAAAGAATTACTGTAATATGATTTTTATGAATAATAAATACCTGTAAATACATATCTGAATAGTGGCAAGTATATTGAAATACCAAGATTATTATTGTAGTGAATTACTGTAATTGTTAAAATCGTTACCAAAATTTGAGAATAGATCAAATAGCCTCTTGGTTGCAAATTTCATCAAAGTGTAGAGGGTATTCCCTTGGTAGGGAATTATCCCTACCCAGTGAGATAAACCCTTTTTCTATAATAGAACATGGAAAATATTAAGAATTACTGTAAAAATATAAAGAAATGGAAATTCATAGGAAATAAAACAAAATAAAGCGTACTACTAGTCTCTTTGGCTGCAGTAATTGATGGAAAGGTAGCCTAAAGTTGTATTGAATAATATTCAGAGTGTCTTCAAATTTACTTTTGGATTTAGATGCATTTTTGATATAGTAAATATGTTGGCATATGTAAATATTGTTTGTAATGTGACCCGCTCGCCCCAAAACGCACACAAACCCTAAGCCCCTAGATCACGGGTAGGTCTTGGACTACCTCCTACCCTCCTGTCCGGCAGCACGTTGCAACTATCACATCACTAACAGCTTACATGCAGTTTCCACTTTTAATCATTAATAATTCTGAGCTTTACTAAATTACAGCTTTAATAATCAAGCAAACTATCTGAGAAGTATATCTGTACTGTGGCACAATTCAAATAAGCCTGTCTGCCATGCCTGATTTTACAAAAATATTTTATGAAATTTTTTTCAAATTACACAATTCCTACGCTTCTATTTTAAACATTTATGAATTCATAATTTTACATTTATTATGATTATATTTACTGTATAATGCTTATGTATTTGTTTATGATGCTCATGTTATAAATTTAGTGTCGAAGTATTTTGCTACACAATCACATTACACTTATATTATTACTAACTCAGTTTTTCTTTATTTACAGTTGCCTTTATGTTTGTAAACAGTAAGGCTCGTCAATTCAACATCTTCCTCTGGGTTACTCTTATATTTGGCACTGGCATTTTAATGTGCTTGTACAGCATGGAGTGGTATGCCCGTATCAATTGTCCACCTGTTTATGTAAGTTGAGATTTTATATTATTGAAAATGTGTTATTATGTATTCAATATTTTTACTTACACACTGCTGTATGTGCTAGTGAGTACAGAGCCAGTACAGAGTACTGGCTCTTGGGCATTCTTTTTAATTTTCAGGTACCCGATTCAACTTTACTCATAATTTTCAGTCATAACTACTTTTAACCCTCATCTTCCATGGTTGCACTCATGCATGTAGAAAAAGAAGTCGCCCCATTAAGACACCAGGCAGCTTACATCAGTCAAGCTCTCCTGAATTCTGACAAGCTGACTCATGTTGACTTCTGCACTCGCTCCCTTTCCTGTATTGATATTTCTCATTGCTCATTCTCCATTTATATAGATCTGTCGTGAAGGGTCATAGCACCAATCCTAGCTTCACGTTTTCTATATCTAAGACTTGTGCTATGACTTACTTGGAAACAGATTGTTCTTTGTGCCCCCATTGTCTTTCTATGGTAGTGCCCTTCTCTGTAAAGATTCAGCAAAATTTTTTGAGTTGATCTTTGGAACTTTGTTTTTCTTGGTCACCCCATATCTCTTACCTCTGAATCAAATGCTTTAAGGCCCTTACATTTCCTTCGTTCTTGTCCCATATTATACTTTCTAGGGTGCTGATAGATGCACACTATTCTATTTGCACTCCTCTCTCATGCTGTCTCTTATGGATTATGGCTGCCCTACCTACTCCTCTGCCTTGCCTTCGACCTTTTGTTGTCTTGATGTTCTGCACCATGCTGAATTATAACTCTGCTCTGGTGCCTTTTGCTCATTCACTACCCAGAATGTATATTGAAACCAGCATCTTGTCACTACAGGATTGTCGGATTCATTACTGCAATCGCTACCTCGCAAGGTCTCTGCAACATCTTCATTCTCTCTTTTGCTGGCCCTTGGCTGTTGCCCATCCAGTAGGCCTTGTTGCCTTTCACCACCTTCCTATTTCTATAAGGATGTCTTGCTTACAAGCTTTCTTTTCGGTACGTGTTTGCAATGTCTCATGTGTCGTTTCATTTTTGCCCCATGGAGTATCCCACATACTAAATTTTGCAAGGTTTTGACCCCACATGATAAAGGCTTCTACTCCTCTTATTGTTATGAAGCACGTTTTCCTTGAAAATTTTTTCTTTGCGCTCAAATTTTGTTGCCCTCTTCACAGATGAATCTGTCTGCCGATGGTGTTGGATTCTCTATGGTGTTTCCAGAACAAACCTATATGTGCTACCTCCCTCCAGAGGCTAGCATCTTCACGGCTGAACTATGTGCAATTTTGTATGCTCTTTATCAACTGATTTTCCATCGACAACGCTCTTTTTGTCATTGTGGTTGACTCGCAGTGCAGTCATGGCTATGGAATTATTTAATCCTATGCATCCTGTGGTAGTCAAACTCCAATATTGGCTGTTTCTAATCCCTAGCAGATTTAAAACAGTTGAGTTTTCCTGGATTTCCAGCCATATTGGAATTCCATTAGATGAGCGTGTGGACAATGCTGCTAAGGAGGCTATCTGTACTTGTCCTATTTTCCGAGAGGCATTTATTATTCCAGTTTGTACCGAGTAATTTATTCCTCGATTTGAGACCATTGGGAGGGTCATTGGTCTGTGTGCTCTTAAGGGTAGCCTTGGCCTTCCTCCTACCACAATAATCGGTGGTGGGAAACAGCTCTGGCGAGGTTACGTATTGGCCATACACACTTAACTTATGGGCACTTAATAGAATGCTGCCTTGCTGCTTATTGTGTGAATTGTACTGTCCCCTTTACAGTTGTGCATCTTCTCGTTAAATGTCCTAATTTTCAGAACGTTTGTGTCTTACATTCCAACTGTCCCATGATAGAATCCTTGGTTAATCTGATACCTTTGATATCGCTCGCTTTATGTGCTTTTGTTCTCCTATTGGCATCCTCGGTAATATTTAGCACCTTTTGAATGTCTAGCAACACTTATGGCGCTACATAGTCTCCCTGGCTTAGTGCCTTCTTTTGATAATTAGCTTTCTTACTTACACTTCCCACTGTTATTTAGTCATATCTTCTTTTGTCCACATAACTCTCCTGTTATATATCAAATATTGTACACATATTTATAGTGATAATATGCAAATGTACATACAATTTTCTGAAACAAAAAAAAAAAACAAAAATAAGTATCCTGAGAGTAGATATTAACACATTTTCTTTATGTAATCACAATATACCTACTGCTATATGAGTGGAAATAACAATGACTAATTTAAAATTATTTTTTGTTTCAGGAGGGCTTTCTTGACTATCTTGTACCACGAAGCTTAGCTTGTGAATTTTCATCCGTTGAATAGGAAACAGTATAATTATTTTGCATTAAAATTAATTGCAATGTGTTAGTTAAAATTTCCTGAATAGACCCAATCAGGTAGTGTCACAAGTTTGTATGATATGCAGCTGTACAAGTGTATAGCTGCATATATTATATTTTGTATAACCTTTTATCCAAACTAATCCTAAATAAATATTTTTTTAAAGCATGAAAGAATTTGTAAAACTTAAGTATGTGGTATTTTGGTACTGTATTACCAAAATTTGCAATTAAATGTTAACATAAATACCTTTATATGTCAAGCAAAAGCATTGATGTATAGACTCCAAAACTGAGACATTCTAAAGCAGTTTTGTTTTCATTAAATAATATAGAAAACGTAGTGAATCTAAAATGAAATAAGATCTTCACTACTTTCAAAGTGACCTTATTAATGCAAACTACATATTTTTATGTCAGCAGTAAGAAAATGCATTTAAATTACAGTACGTATTTATGTATATACAGTAGTATATAAACCTTAAAAAATATTCTGCCGATAGTCTTCCTTCTTTCCAATCGGACAGAATTTATTATAAATTTCTATTTTGTACTCTATGTGACTTTGAATTTTGTGTGTGCAACATTATATGTTCAGTATCACCCATGCACCAATATGCTCACCAGCATCAGTTCGTTGTGAAATGTGAAGTTACATCTTGTACTGTAATGTGGAAAGCGTTATTTATGGTGATATGGTGTCGAGACATTTTCTTTAAGATTCTCTTTTGATGTGCCTCGCGTAATAAATTAGGCAATGTTGTTTGCAATTCAATGATGAAAGGCTTTTTAATGTGCATATTTGGGCTAAATGACATCATATAATACTTTATGCAATTGGCTCAGAAAACTCTAACTTTAAAGTGGAAGTAAATGTTTGAAAACACTAGCAAAACATTTTACTGAGACTTCTTGGTTATTTAGTGTGAAGCAATCTTGTTTTTGTTTTACAAAGTTAGTTATTATTATAGCTTACCAAATTTTTCTCTTTAGATGTAAAAGTGCTTTTCTCTATTTTTTTTCTTATGTTGGTGATATATTGCAATTCCCACAAGTAATTTCCACCTCATACTTTTTGTTGTTCTTGTCTTACATTTAAAGTTGGTGAATACATACAGTTTGCTGTTTTTGGTTAAATTATATATGGGATTTGTGCAATGTGATTCAGCTTAGAGGAATTATAATATTATCATACATGAATGTGACATTAATTATATAGCATAGATGACTGTATTTTTGTATGGGTAATTTTAAAATGAAGACAGAGATACAACTGAAGTCTTACCTTTAAAACACATTGCAGGTAACAATGACATCTTAATTGTCCACATTGTCTTCCCATCTCTCACTACACATGCCAGCAGTTCATCAATATAGTTGTTCCTAAGGAAGACTATGGACTTGTCTTCAATTCATTCACTTTAAGTAAATCTTGCATCCACCAAGCTCTTCCTCTAGTAGGACCCAGACAAGCGCGTCATTTGATGTAAGATCAAGGCCATAGGGTGAATGCATAAGAATCATAAACCCCCAGACCTTGGATGGTGTCATCTGTTGCCCTGTGCTGGTTTTGGATAGGGATGATTGTACTACAAGATCCTTTTCCTTAGCGATCCACAATGTCTGCTCCTAATGGCTTTGTTGAACTATATGAATTTTAAATTTGTCTTTATTGACTAAAGCTCCTCGGGGGTTATAATCGGTCAATGTACCCATGTTCATGCACCAAAAGACTGTCAGCATTTTTTTTTTACTCTGATTTTCATTATACTAGTAATGTGATATTATTTTTATTTCATATACATTATTGTTAGTGATAGTTTATTAAATGATATCGTGGCCAGTAGAGAAAGCTTTGACTTTTTTATGATATGTTTACTTAAAATATGACATAATTTGCTTTCAGATGTACAGTTCTTATGTTTATGCTTAGGGAATATTTATATTAAGATAAATGTAATTTAAGAATAGATCTCAGTTGCCTACACTAAGTGTAAGCTTAGTTACTACACCCACAGCAACACAGAGAGTAGGGACTGATTTATGAAAGCTGCACAAGCATGACAAGAAACCTCTTGATTGTATCTACAGTACTACACATATTGTACTTGGGAAATAAGTAATTTATAACAAAAATTAAATATAAAAAAACAAGGACAGGATTAGTTTCTTTGTAAAGAAAATGTAAAAAAAGCTAAGGTTGTGATAAAGCTGAATAGTGATAATTATGAAACTACAGCATTGTGATGACAGTTTTTCAAATGTTTTCAATCTTTTATTTTATATACATTAAAATTAGCTTTAAGTTGATATAATGTCTTGTGACCTGTTAGCATTACCCTATGATAATGAGATGGAGGCTGAAAGACATACTCAGGATAACTATTCACTTGTATGATATTTTCTATGAGGTTCATGACCATGTTCGTGTTCTGTGATGTAAAAAACTGTTCAAGAATACATTCAGAAGTAATATTTACTTGTCTGAGCTGTACAGTTAACATTCACTGGATGAATGCTGAACTTGCCATGTATACAAAATTGTATTTTTGACAAAGTACAAATATAAAAAGTCATCTTCATCTTTGAGTATTTTTATTTTAACATGGGATGACTCCTGTATATCTCTCCTTGACAGAATATATTCCAGCCCAGCCTCTCGAGTTGTCACAATGTCACACAGATTATGTACTAAATTTTCCAGGTCTAATATAATCCACAAATAGAAAACGTAACAGCCTATAAATCATAGCAGGTCACAGCCTTTGTGACCTGCTATGATTTATAGTACATCATATTTTTAACATGGGTGATTTTTATGTCAAAATACGATGTACTACTCAAGAGGACAGGTTGTATATTCCACCTTGAAACTCTAGATGCAGAAAACAAATGCTTATTACACTGCAATGAATGATTCTAAACTATGCAAATGGCCAGAGGACTCTCAAGTACTAATAAATACGAATAATGCTAGTACTATGTGGGACAATAAAATATGCATGAGATTCTGTATTGTTCAATGAAAGCTGAGGCTAACGAGGGAACTACACCAGTCAGTACCTGGGGCCAGATTCACGAAGCAGTTACACAAGGGCTTACTAACATGTACATCTTTCCTCAATCTTTGATGGTTTTGGTTACATTTATTAAACAGTTTACAAGCATGAAAACTTGCCAATCAACTGTTGTTATTGTTATAAACAGCCTCCTGGTGCTTCGGAGCTCATTAACTGTTTAATAATTGTAAACAAAGCTGCGAAACATTGAGAAAAGATGTACAGGTTTGTAAGTATTTGCATAACTTCTTCGTAAATATAGCCCCTGGAGTTGGGTCAATGCCGAATTAATGAGGTGTGGCTGTAGCTGAGTGAATGTTGAGCTGGCCAGTTACTTAAGTGTTAACACTTATCATTTTGTCATTAGTTGCCTTTTTTTTGGTTGATCTTGACAGAACGACTGCCTAGTTTAACAGGACCTCAGTGTCTGAGGTCCTGTTAAACAGGTAGGTAGAGAACAGGTAGGCATCTATTAACCAAGATAAAGTTTAGCATTGGCAGATCGTTACCCCAGTGTGGTAGCGCCCAGCCAGTGTGCTAAGTGTTGGTTTACAGTACTGTATTCCACATACTGTGTTCTATGCATTATTACTAGAGTATTTTGTTATACTCAGTTCTTGGTCAATGGACCAGTTATATACCCGATTATTAGTGCCTTGGTGACCCACGTTTTATCATGTGTTATTGTGGAATTTCCACAATTTCCATCACTTTTCCAATAGTTAGTTATATATATATATATATATATATATATATATATATATATATATATATATATATATATATATATATATATATATATATATATATATATATATATATATATATATATATATATATATATATATATATATAACTGAAAACTCACACCCCAGAAGTGACTCGAACCCATACTCCCAGATGCCACGCAACTGGTATGTACAAGACGCCTTAATCCACTTGACCATCACGACCGGACAAAATGAGGTGATAGCCGAGGCTATTTGAACCACCCCACCGCCGGCACTCGGATAGTAATCTTGGGCATAGCATTTTACCAAATCACCTCATTCTTTGGGGCACACGTGAGGAACACAAATGCGAACAAGCCTGAATGGTCCCCAGGACAATATGCAACTGAAAACTCACACCCCAGAAGTGACTCGAACCCATACTCCCAGATGCCACGCAACTGGTATGTACAAGACGCCTTAATCCACTTGACCATCACGACCGGACAAAATGAGGTGATAGCCGAGGCTATTTGAACCACCCCACCGCCGGCACTCGGATAGTAATCTTGGGCATAGCATTTTACCAAATCACCTCATTCTTTGGGGCACACGTGAGGAACACAAATGCGAACAAGCCTGAATGGTCCCCAGGACAATATGCAACTGAAAACTCACACCCCAGAAGTGACTCGAACCCATGTGAAGTGAAGAAGTGACTTTTGTGTTCCTCACGTGTGCCCCAAAGAATGAGGTGATTTGGTAAAATGCTATGCCCAAGATTACTATCCGAGTGCCGGCGGTGGGGTGGTTCAAATAGCCTCGGCAATCACCTCATTTTGTCCGGTCGTGATGGTCAAGTGGATTAAGGCGTCTTGTACATACCAGTTGCGTGGCATCTGGGAGTATGGGTTCGAGTCACTTCTGGGGTGTGAGTTTTCAGTTGCATATTGTCCTGGGGACCATTCAGGCTTGTTCGCATTTGTGTTCCTCACGTGTGCCCCAAAGAATGAGGTGATTTGGTAAAATGCTATGCCCAAGATTACTATCCGAGTGCCGGCGGTGGGGTGGTTCAAATAGCCTCGGCTATCACCTCATTTTGTCCGGTCGTGATGGTCAAGTGGATTAAGGCGTCTTGTACATACCAGTTGCGTGGCATCTGGGAGTATGGGTTCGAGTCACTTCTGGGGTGTGAGTTTTCAGTTGCATATTGTCCTGGGGACCATTCAGGCTTGTTCGCATATATATATATATATATATATATATATATATATATATATATATATATATATATATATATATATATATATATATATATATATTTTTTTTTTTTTTTTTTTTTTTGGAACTAGTGTTTCAATATCTTGTCATTTGCTCTATGGATAACAAAACATGGGGCTATTGTAAGTGCAAGATGCAATTGCAGGTCTCCGTGGGAACCCAGGACACCAACATGTGGTGTCCAAGGTGTTAGGCTAAGGCAGAGCCCAAGAGTTAAGTCTCAAGCTGCATTTTTGCAAAGTAAAGGTAGAGTAAAAATTGTATTTAGTTTGTGCCCATCACTGAAGTGAGAAAAGTACTATGGAAAGAGTTGTCATTGTTTGCTCAGTTAGGTACACACTGTGTGCAAGGATAGCTGCAAGTGTTTCATTCAAGGTTAATTACTTTGAGATCTATGTGCCCAAGCACCAATGTATGTCCAATGCATATACACCCTCACGGAACAATGCTGTCAGGAATAAGCGTTCAAGCATCACACACAGGTGCTACAACTGATGCAAATGAGTACTCATAGTGTATGGTAGAATACTTGAATGGATAAAACTGGTTAAAACAAAGAAAACAGTCCTGTTAAATGAGAACGAATATACTGGAGAAATGTGGTGAGTGGGTACCACAGGGGGTCTATTTTGGTGCTAACACTGTCATATTCATCAGTGACATGAGAATATTACAAGCATATCAGATTTGCAGATAACACAAAGATCTATGGTAAAGTGGGAAATGAAAATTATATTTACGCTTTACCTGAGAGCCTATAACACTAGTGGCCTTGACGAGGACAGAAAGCCGGCAGCTTGTCGAAGGCCCATTTGCCTCGGTGATCTTTTCTAGGTGTACTTTAAAAGTTACCAGAGTTTTCGCATTTACGGCTTCAGCGGGTAGGCAGTTCCATGGGTTTAGAACTGGATGAAGTAGCATCTCCTGTTCTCAGTCCTACAGTGTGCCTTGTTGAGCTTAAAACTTTTGCTTCTTGTTTGTGTTTAATCGGACCTTTTAACTAAATTTTCCAGATCAACATCCTCCAAATTATTTGAAGCCTTACGAAGAGTAGGCTTTTACATGAGTTCTGCTTGAACTTTACGAATGATCAGAGGACTGGCAAATGCTTTTTATTATAAAAAAAAAGCAAGACTCTACATGTGAAGCATAACAACCCATGTCACAGCTACCAAATTAATAACATTATCCTGCAGCAGATTGATAAAGAAGATCTTAGTCAAAATCCACCCATCACTGAAAGTTGCACAACATATAAGAGCAGCAGTAAAAAAAGCTAACCAAACATACCATTGACTTTAAGGAAAAGTATTTGGTGATTCATCTGTATAAAGCTCTGGTGTACCTCCACTTGGATTATTGTATCCAAGCATGGAGACCTCATCTTCAGAAAGCTGCTTTGGAAAAAGTACAACACGGCTGACAAAAGTAATTCCAGAACTAAGTCAACTCTTGTACCAGGAAGGAGGACCTCAGAGCTAACAACACTGCAAACCAGGCCTGACAGGGTGGATCTCATCTAAACCTTTAAAATGCTGAACAATTTGTAGGATGTTAAGACAATGTCTTCAAAAGGTCTGATGTAACACAAATAAGGAGCAACGGTTTCAGCTCAGCATGCCACAATGCATGACAAAGTAGGAAATACTTTTTTCACCCACAAGGATATAAGCCCATGGAACCGACTACCCACCGAAGCCGTAAATGCCAAAACTGTACAATTTTAAAATCCAGCAGGAAAATATCATCAGGGGAAATAGGGGGACCTTTGACAAGCCGCCGGCTTCCTGTCCTTGTGATGATCGGCTTCCAAATCATCAGATGATTTGAACACATGTCTACCAACGCAGATTGTTCAAGATCAGCAATTTTACTGAATTGTAGAGCTCTTGAGATCTACACAGTCTGGGACATTATCAACATGATGATTATGGTCCTGAAACCTTTATTGAAAGGGTTCAGGATCACAGCAGCCGGAATGTGGGAGACGTTCTGCACAATGAAGTTATGTACGGGAGAGAGAGAGACGCACGCTGTAGCATCTGGAGTCCAAGTCAATATCGCTATTGTAAACTGTCAAAGATTGAGCCTAGTTGGGGGACCATTATACAACAGCATGATACGGGAACAGTTCCTGAACACATGTAAACCTGTAGACCAGACCAGTGTGTGGTCTGGTCAACATACTTTAGCCACGTTATTGTGACTCATCGCCTGCACATGTAAACCTGTACTTCGCTTCATGCTCAAGCAGCAAGTCATCGGGTCAAACACAAAATTGGTAGGGCAAACAGGCTTATGGGCTGAAGCCAAGAAACACTCAAGGTAGCTGGAACCTACAAGCAAGCGCACCACTAATGCCAATAACGGGGGTGCTAAACCCAGGTCTACGAAGGTGGAGTCAAGCAAGTACAAGTGTTTCACTTGTGGGAAGACTGGCCACCGTGCAGCTGAATGCAAGGATAGCACACAGCCGAAGCCGCTGAAGACGATAATTTAAATTGCCAGACTCTGCTCTTGTGGAGGGAGGTTGG